AAATTGCGATCAAATAACGCACATCACACAAGTAATTGATTATTATTTGTATCATCATATTAGATCAGAACCATGGAGTAGAAAGTATGTCTTTATTTAAAAGATCTTAAGGCAGAGTGGGCGCTCTCTACTCACGAGAAGGTGGAGGTGGGGTGGTGGGGGGGGTCGTAACAACCCCTTGCTTCAGATGTCAGGGAATAACTAATTGTGGTGCCCAAATGTCACACCTCCACATCAGGAGTGTGTGTCTGTGTGTGTGTGTGTGTGTTGCTTTTTCTCTCCCTCTCATAGCTGCGTGGGCGAAGTGCTCGGCGAGTAAGTGAAACAGTTTCAGACAAATCATCTCGCATTGTGTGAAATTAGTTCTAACAACCAGGGGATCCGTTTACACTGATTTCTCACAACCAAACTTTGGCAAGTCTCGTGAACGGTTGTGTCTAAGCACTGGATTGTCGAGTGTCGTTGCCAGGACTCACCACCCTCATCTGCCTGCTTACGTCACAGAACCTCACGATTCAGATCATGTCTTTTGAATTTCCCGTCCAAACGAACTCTGGTCATACGCTTTTTTTTTTTGCTTCCTGTAAAATGCCTCTTGGTCCACTTTGGACAAACTGTAACATGCTGTCAAAACAATTCCAAGTCATGGTGATGACAGTGGAAGATTAGCGCCCCATTAAAGGCTGCAGGAGGGAGAAAAGATGAAGTAAACTGGGTTTGAAAAAGACTCCAAAAGGGTGAAACACAAGTCTGTGATGCTGCTGTTCTCTCTCCATCGAAAGGGCCTTTTAAAGCGAGTCTCCAAATCCTGGAGCTTCTGACCACACGCAGTCAACACAGTGTGTGCTGAACTTCAAGGCGCAACATCTGCATTCCTTCCGTCCTTTGGTGCTTTATCTGTCTGAAGCTGGACGGACCGCTGCCGTCTGTCCCAACCGGAAAACTTTGTTGGAAAGTCCTACCGTGGCCTTGGTCAGCAGAGCACTGATGCTTTCTGAGCGACGTGCATTGTGTTTCTGTGACGTTCACTTGTCTGCAGAAATGTGTTGGGGTAAAATGACACTTAAACTGGACCGTAGATCGTTTTCCAGTGTGGCCATAAAGGACTCGTGTCAGACCAGATTAAACAGCATAGGATAAATGTAATAAAGTTGCCTCTTAATATTGGTGCAAGGGCGCCTTCTTCTGGAGGACTTTAGGAACTTCTCAAATGGGTCCAAATCAGTAAAACTCAACATTGACCAGATGTTGGGGGGATTTGACTCTCAGCATCCCAATTGTAAAGGATGTGTACAATGTCGTATTGTTGTGTGAGATCAACACCATGCTGTAACTTTTCTGTGTCGCTACAAAGACATTTGTTTCTCTTTTCTTCTTTTCCTCCCCTCTGATACTTTTGCCACAGAATTAACAGCACATAATTTGACATGATGACACCTTGTGAGTTGAACCACTCTCCTTTGATGGTTGGTGCTTCCCCGTTGAGGGGTCGGACACGTTTGTGAAGTAGAAGGTTAACACATGTGTCCTTGTGAAACCGTCAAATTCACTTCAGTTGAATAACCTGATTATGAAATGTAAAATAAACATTACGTTTGTCAATCTAGGAAGGCTTTTCGCCTTTATGATCAGGAGCTCACGACTTATGATTTACATTTAGCTGAAGCAAAATAGTGAAATTGAGGTGCAAGCCTCTGAAATACCGAAGTTTTCTGCTCTTTTCGTTCTTTTTTGAGTGTTTTCACAGCAGCCATTTGGATCTGTTAAAGCAGGAAAATCATCTGTACGTGAGATTAATAAGGGCTCTGTTCCATTTAGAAGGAAATGAGTAGGCATAACTCCAGCACCTTTCAACATGCACATTTAAGTTGAATATAGCCATGATTAATGTTATTATGATACCTGCACACTAAATATAACGGCTTTGGGTTTGAGGCCATTTCTATTTCATTTTTAACGTTAGCGAGGTTGTCTTTTTATGTAGATTTACCTCAGATAAAATGAGTATTGAGTGAACTAATTATATCCACTAAACTAATCAAACTAAGGTAGTTGAGAAGTGTTGTTAGCATACACGCATTGTGTCAACTCAGAATGCTACGATATAAATTCTATCCTGTCAATGTAAACGGCAGCTTATAGTTTTCAGTGAGACAATCTTTTTTGTCACACTTTTGCAAGACATAACTACCCGAATCAGGCTTGACTGCTCAGCACTTTTATCGTTTGGAATTTCATTTATTTAATTAAATAATTTTATTTGTGGATTTCACAGGAATGTGCACATCAACATAAGTTGTTGGTTGCGCCAGTGCTCAAAAAGGCTCATGAATAATGCATCTAATAAATTGAACGATGCTTTGAAAACTTTTTTTAATATAAAAAAGGCAGATTTTATGAAACTTTCTGTGTGTTATCTTGGTCCAATAACGTCCCTCTCTAGCTTTAAGCTTCTATCCACCACATCAGTGTATCTGAACAACAATCAGATAACTTACATTTGTAAGATTGACTTACTGTCGGATGTGAATCTGTTTTCACGGTCATGGTGGCTTGACCGACCCGGGACCTTTGCTTTTGTCCCCAGAAGGTCTCCCCTCGTCCGGCCTGAAGGTGTCCCGCTCCCGGCTCCGGCTTTTTAGAGGCGTTTCACTTCTCCACCGCAAGATGGCGCCACGTCGCCGGTGCGCGCCGCCCTGCTGTGTCCGATACAGATGTGTGCAGATGCACAATGAGAGGATGACACGCACACACACGCACACGCACACACACACACTCACACACACACACACACACTCACACACACACACGCACACGCACGCACACACACGCTTCATTGCGTTACGGAGCCGTTTGTCAGCCAATGAAAAACGTGTTAATGAGCAGCTCCGCTCGTAAAGATGTTCACATGCAGCCTTTCCTCCACTAACGAACTCCCTCCGTCCCTCCACCTCTCCGCGGGCGTGTGCGTGTTGCTGGTGTGTTGGGTCCGGCACCTCTCCGTGCGTGTCACGCAGTTATGATCCATGATACCTTGGTTTAAACGTCGTGTTATTGTCTACCGCGCTGCCAGGATTTTAAGGGAATCAAGATGGGGGGGTTGAGGGGTTGGGGGGGCCGTATGCGTGAGAACAACCCTGCGCCTCTTTGAAGCCGTTTCAACGTCTCGCAAAGAAAAACACACGCTCATTTTTATTATTATTTTTGAAGGTTTTTGTTTTTTTATATCGCCCTCTGAATCACGTGAGCGGCTTGAATTTCTCACCGAGATAAGAAAACATTTCCACTGAAGTAGCTCGTACAGCAGCTCCATGACCTGCGCGCAGAGGGTCGTTTATCCACCGGGATCCGGCGGGACCCCCCAGGCCTGTTTAGTTACTCCACTGTGGCTGATCGCACCCCCACTTATTCATCATCTGCGGTACAAAACGAATCACATCTCCGTAATGGTTGTGTTTGTTAGATAGCAGGTTGCGTTGTTGTTAAAATGTGTGCCGCATATGGCTTCCCGGGAAAGTAAAAATGAAAAAGAAAAAAGGTCTTATTTATTTGAGAGTTTCCATATTTCGCTTTTTCATTTAATAAAGAAGAGCATGCAGAGAAAAAAACACCTGTGACGTTGGAGGCCAAATGTAATGGTGCATAGCTTTTTAATGGCGGTTCTCGTGAAACTACCAGAAAAAAAAAAAAATTAAAAAAAATCGGAGGCCATATCAGTAAATGTTGGCACCGGGAAGCCTTTAACGCAGCACAGTTTGCTGCATTTATCATCGTGTCCTTCGAGTGTCCTTCGTCGTTCCCCATCAATGTCTCACGTGACTTCGGTGCCGTAATAGCGTCACATACCTTGCGCTTGTGTGGCGATTTGACGCTCTCGTCTCATTAAAACCACACAACGCGCACGGGGGCTTGGGGGGGAGGGAGGGAGGGAGGAGGGGGGGTGCAGGGGGTCGTTCAGGGGCTGGTTCCAATCTGAAGACATGCGTGATGAATTTGGAAAATCATCTGCAGCTTTGCTGGTACCGTATAGAAGGCCCACCCAGCCCGGCCCCAGCCCCCCTGTGCCCAGGGGTATCAATTCGATTAGGGGCAGGAAACGTGGGAATCCCCAACAAAGGGAGCCATCATTAAACATAAACAACCAGAGGCCCCCCAACAACACCAACAGCGCCCTCCTCTCCGCACTTCTCTTTTAAGTCCGAGCGGGTGCAAATCTATTACTTTCATCCCGGAATCAGCACTCTGCCATCCAGTCGCCCATTATGGGGAACGACGATCCGGCGGGGGGGGGGTCTTGGCGGACTTGGAGAGGTTTTCGTTCACGCACAGAGGGTGTGGGGTTTCCAACCCCGCGGGTCTCAGGGATGTGCCGGCCGCAGCATCAAATGTTATTTCTTTTCTCCGTTTCACACATGGTGATATTTATTTATAAATATAGAAAAAAGAAAGCAAGTGCAACAAAGGACATGTTCAGCTCATTAAAGCCCCCCCCCCCCCCCTCCAAACGACTCCTGCGTCAATTGTCTGTTCAAAGAGCAAGTACCTGCCTCACGTGGACCTTTGATTTAAGGTGTAGATGACAATATGGACGTTCATTGTGATTCCCTATTAGGTGACAGTTTCCCCTTCTTCTGTTGAGGTTAATATCATATTTTTAAAAAGTATGTTGTTGAAAAAATATTTCCCAACTTTATTAACGCGTTAAATTAACAATGTATTGAACGATCATCATAATCCCTCTAATAATACACATCATATTAACTTGAATTATTCTGATAAAACCACAATAACCGTTTAGAAGAAATACTTGTTTTCAACAGAACCCCGTGGACTGAGACTAAAATCGCAATTTAATTGTATTTGTTTCTATTTTTAGTAAAAACATCAAAATCAACAACCCTTTTCCCCAAAATAGATTGCCTCTGTCCATGAGGATGTTTTTCCCCGAACGGCCCCGTAGCGTCCGCGTGGCCCGCTGATGAGAGCGCACCGGGAGGCTGGCACGGGCCTCCTTGGTATCCGTCCCGTCGTTTTCATTGGTCACAATCCTTTTTCCTCGCGCCTCAACGTGACATCACATCCACCCGACCCGCAGGAGAGCGAACCCGAGATTCCAGATGATGCTGGACATCTCAGAGGACGCGCACGCTTCGCTTCACGCGTAAATCACTCCGTAGCGCATTTTTTTTTAGCGCGTATAAGAAACGAAATAGAAAGGTGAGCGGCGCTTGTGGTTCGCAGAGTCTGTTTGTGGAACAGCAGAAGGATTGCGGTCGGACCCTCCCTCCCCTTTTTGTGAATGGAGATGAGTCGTGCGTAAAAAATAAATAAATCCGGTTCATCGCGTCGAGGAGAAGAGCCGTCACTCCTCCACCTGTTGGCGGGTGGTGCTGGCTTTCTCCTGCTGACACCTACTATGACATTGGGTTTGGAAATCATGGAGGATATTGTTATCGACGTGGTTGGCGAAGGACTCAAGGACAGCGGCGAGGAGCAGCTCTTCCCTTCGGACGAGTCGCTGAGCGAGCAGGAGCGCGGCGCCGAGACGCGCGACGGCCAGAGCGAGGAGCGGGACGCCTTCAGCCCGGACGCGGGGAGCCCCTCTGGGGCCAAAAGCAAAGGTCCCACGTCGGTCAAGCCGCCGTACTCCTACATCGCCTTGATTACCATGGCCATCCTGCAGAGTCCCAAGAAGCGGCTCACCCTCAGCGAGATATGCGACTTCATCAGCCAGCGCTTCGCGTACTACCGGGAGAAGTTCCCCGCGTGGCAGAACTCCATCCGACACAATCTGTCGCTGAATGACTGCTTCATCAAGATGCCCCGAGAGCCCGGCAACCCCGGGAAGGGAAACTATTGGACGCTGGACCCCAACTCCTCGGACATGTTTGAGAACGGGAGCTTTCTGCGGCGGAGGAAGCGCTTCAAGCGGCAGCATTTCCGCTACGACCCGCTGAAGGAGCAGCACCTGGAGCCCAGCGGGCTGCACGGCTTCGCGCACGGCGCCTACGGGTTTGGCGCGGCGGCCCTGCAGCTGCCCGGTCTGGAGATCTACCCATACCTCCATCACCACGCGCACACGCCGTGCGGGCCCGCTGCCATCCCACCTGTCAGCAGCATCCTGCCGGCGCTTTCCAGCTTCTTCTCTCGCAGCGCGCTCACGGCCAAGGCTTTCCTGCAGGCGCAGCCCGGGATGGACGCCTTCTCCCCGGGCCAGTGCACCGCGTACTCCTCCCCGCTGGCGTCCGGCGCTGCGTACGCGTCCCCGGCGCTCTTCCACCCCGCCGCGGCTCCGCACTTCCTCAGTTTGCACCAGGAGTATCAGAAATTACAGACTCAGCGTGGCACCGTGGACCTGGCCAAGCACATCCACGCGCTGGAAACAACGAATAATGGCGAGAGACTATGACGGACTATGAACTTGTGTTTTCTCAGGTAACAAGAGACATTTTAATCAGAACCCTCCAGCGTCGGAAGTGTGATGTATCTGCTTTCAAAGAATCTTCTAGATATGTTTTATTTTTTTAGGGCAATGAAATATGTTTCCACAGACGTGCTTTTATTTTGATTTTGAATCATCTTACGTTTTTTAAAAGAATATTTAAATGACGAGTTTCCTTAATTTTTTTCTGGAAAGAAATAAAATTGAATATTTAAACCGTGCGGTTATTTGTATTTTGTGCAAATCCTCGCGGTGATATTACCTTGTTTATTTATCTCATTGCGAAGGTACAAAAGCACAGACTCGCTTTAGATGTCAGGTGTTTACTTTCAGTTCCTGAGTATTTGACTATTTAGGAATTAATTAAATATAAATTCGAATATAATTCGGGATCATACCAACAGACCGAAATTCCCTTTATTCAAATACTATGAATTATAAACTACTTGAAAAGAAAAGGGGGATGAGCTAAGCATTCAAATAACCGTCAATAATTATTTAAGGACTGAAGTAAGCTGAGGCCTAAAAGTGAAATTACGAGATTCCGCTTCAAATGATCAATCATATATAATACAAACACGGTACAGTCATAAAAAAGTACATATCTGTTGATCATCTCAGTTGAGGCAGTGATTTGCATGATTCTCAACGATTGAGATGAGTTTTAATATTAATTGAATTTTTAACTTGTCAAATATTGTGTTTCATATTAGAAAAGACGCTAAATGCGGCATTGTGCAGCATATCGGAAACACCCGGGTTTCAAGGTCAAAGTCTCAAAACCCTCAGCAGTACATAAGTGAGCAGCTGAAGGTCAACGCATGCGTTTGTGCGCGTGTGTGTGTTCATCGATACAACATGTCCATAATTGTCTTATTTCGAAGGGGCAAACACACACACACACACACACACACACACACACACACACACACACACACACACACACACACACGTATACATATACACACCCCTGCTCTCTGAAAACTGAAGAAACGTCCCTTATTTTATTGATATAAAATATGTCAACCTTTTGGTTATTTCTGTTCCTTTTTGAGGATAAGCTTTAAAGATGTAACTTCCTCATATAATTCATATTCAAATTAAAAATTAGATTTATTTAAAAAATAAAAGGAAACAATCTTGAAATGTAGTTAATTGATATTTAAATATACGCTGCGTAGAAATAGTTAACAGTAATATTGTAAAGAAGAATCTAATCTGCCTGATTTATTACTTGATTTAATCTTCCATTTACATTCTGGTGTATAAAGGTTGAGCTGTTTAAGGCCAAACTCAGCATAATTAGATCAAACCATAATCCATCATCTAACTAAAACAAATAAACTCTCTCTCACACACACACACACACACACACACACACACACACACACACACACACACACACACAGGGTAAATAAGAGGTTTAGCAAATCTGTCCCCAAAAACCACCCATTTTTTTAACCACTTTTATTATTTCATTAATTTCATCTTTTCTTTATTGCTTTTAAGTCGACGCGGCGCTGCCTCGCAGTGAGAAAGACAGTAGTCAAACATTTCTGGGTTTCAGAGCATGGCAGTATTTGTTTAATTCTATTTTAAGTCCGGTTTAGATGGATTACCGCGCTGAAGCTCTTGGAGCGAGCTGATGGATCACACCGCACGCTCGGCCCTCTCGCAGACTTTGGCGCCCAGTGAGGGCCTGACTCAAATGAAAAGATTGCTACCTGATGGGGAGCTGCAAAGCTGTTGGCCCCTGACAGAAGAGCCCGCTTTCTCACAGGCTTTTCTTACCGCTTTTTAAAGATTTTTTACTGTTGGGTCCCTTTTTTGATCTAATTCAATCTGTTCTGAGGTTTTCTTTTATTCCCCTCTTTCTTTGGTCTCGACCAAAAGTCCAATATTTGCACTGCTAATCTCAAACAGTGCGGCGAGAGCTGCGGCTGAACTGATCCGCCATGAGATTCGTATCATACCACCACACCACCACTTCTGCTATTAGAATTTATCTGATAGGAAAACCAAACATACAGTTGAACGTGTACTTTTTCTTTTTTTTTTCACTCAGTTTTTGGGGCTTTTCTCATGGTGATTTAAAAAGTCCCACCTAAATATGGAGATGCAATATAGAGGGGCTTGTGACTGCAAATGAAAAGAACCACGGAAAATGTTGCCTGTTATTCACATCGCAGGCAATAAGTTGTCATGCGGCTTGTGTACAATCACGCACACGTTGTCTCATCTGTCTCGTCCATTGTCTCACTGTCTGATGTCACGCACCAACCGCCAAGTCAAATTCCTTGTATGTCTGACACATTCTGGTAATAAATGTTCCTGACGTCAACAGGATGTGTCCCTTCGGTGCGGCTCAGTGTTGGTCGAATATGGCGAGATGAGCGGGACACAACGATGTTAATCGTCTTTAAAGGGCATCAGAAGCAGAAATATTTGTCTTCTGGACTGAGGGGGAGAAGCCGGTGCACCTGATAAAATAAGCAAGTCAGACACCCCAGGCCTTTGCCTGTGTGTGTGTGTGTGTGTGTGTGTGTGTGTGTGTGTGTGTGTGTGTGTGTGTGTGTGTGTGTGTGTGTTGCTGTGACTGCACATCAGTTTTCCATCCTGAAGGAGGGGAAAGCTGCCGGCCAGCACACAGCTCAAAGTCTCCTTTCTTTCCTTCTTCCTTTGTGCATCATTCAGTGTGACGTGCTTTATTAATTCCCCTCTTTTATTACGCGCAAAAAAAAGCTTCTTTTTCAGATGTTCCTGTTTTTTTTTTTACCTTTTGTGATCTGTCTCCAAGTTGAACTGCATTTGATCCACAAAGTCGCATCGCGTTTGACTGTGTTTGTTACTGAACGTGTCACATGGAGATGGAGCCCTACACGAGGGGCGCTCGATGAACGGGCCTTAACGCGGCGGCCTGTCAGAATCAGCTCTGAGATGTGATCCCTGGGACAAGTGAGTCGACTCGAGCCACAGCTCCATTCATGCCTTTCGCTCTCCGCTGGCCAACAGGCAAGATAAACCGGTGGGTGGAGCGCCTCCGCCTCGCTGCCGTCGCTCCTTCTGCTTCTACGTCAGGGAGCGCTGCATTCTGGGATGAACCCCTGCACGTTCAGTCAGGACGGGGAAAAAACAAGGGGTCTGTGTGGTTCTGCTTGGATTAAAATGCATCGTTTGGAAGGAATCCCTTTCAAATTTCCTTTCTAACTTTTTACTAAAACTCGGTCAACTTAACCCGAAACAAACGAGTTGACGACTGTGGTTTTTGTATTAGTGATCTTTTAGAGGTATTAGACCAATATAGAGGCAACATGCAGTAGACTTGACTTGACTTAAAAACAATTGTACATTCTTGAGTGTCACGCAGTCCATTCGGAACAGTTTCAAGATAAAACAACAACCGTTTTGGACCGTAACTCAGACGTGTAATGAAAGGCGACGGCCCGTTGGTGCTGCAGGGAAACTCTTCCTTGTGATTCTTCGCCGTGTGTAACTGAACACCTGATGGCCGGGGACTGATTTGTGTCTGCCGTAGCGCTTCCAGGGAGTTGATTTGTGCGGCCCCAGACTGGAGTCGGGACAGTATGAGGGCGCTGTGGTTTTTTAGTTATCATTAGTAAATCTCTCACCTTCCTGCTGAGGCCCATCACAGCTGAGCGTCTCTCTCCTCTCCCTCTAATGGTCCATTTCCACGGGCCTCACTCGCCCCTCGGCGTTTGCTTTTCCTGGCAGGGCCAAGATCCCCACTGCCCCGCTTTGTGGGGTTATTCAATTATAAATCTTCCAAAACTCTCTCCCCCCTCCCTCCCCGCGGCTCCCCTTTACCTCTCTTTCTGCTTCCCCTCTCTCACGGGCTTATGCGTTACCCTGCCAAGCCCAGTAAACCACGCTGCACCGCTCTCCGTTCTCGTGCCCAAGAATTTATCGTGCTCAGGGTGGTGAAGCGGAGCGCCGTGTGTTTTTGAAAAGGGCACCCCCCCCCGAGCCTCGGTGCCAACAGATGACAGTGACATATAGCAGGAAAGCCACCCAGAAGGAGAATGATCTCACACCTCAGCCACGCGCTCAGAGGGAGTTGGAGAAAAAGGAGAGATCTGCAGCCGGGGGTTAGGGGGGGTGGGGGGGGGGGGACACTAAAATCAAGATGAAAAGACGAAGGGATGGAGAAATGCAAAGGTGGAAAGGAAAAACAAACACTGGAGAACGGAGAGAAACCGGTAAAAAGCAAGCCAATGGTCAGATGGAAGTGAACTTATGTCTGTTTCCTCTCTAAATACTTGCTAAACGTCAGCATGTGTCATATCTGAAGAAACCCAACTAAGTTAACCCTCTCATCTCTGTTTTCACCCTCAGACTCTGT